AGATCGAGACCATCCTAGCTAACGCGTGAGAACGCCCGTCTCTACTAAAAAACACAAAAAACTAGCTGGGCGAGTGGTGGGCGCCTGTAGTCCCAGCTACTCGGGAGGCTGAGGCAGGAGGAATGACGTGAACCCAGGAGGGCGGAGCTTGCAGTGAGCTGGATCCCGCCACTGCACTCCAGCCTGGGTGACAGAAGTGAGACTGTCTCAAAAAAAATAAATAAATAAATAAAATAAAATTTAAAACCCAGAGTTGGAAAATTAAGATGAGAAAACTCTCCTGGAAAGTAGAACAAAAAGACAGAAATAGAAAATAAGAAAGGTTTACCCAAAAAATACTTAAAAATTAGGCAGGGAGGTGCAGTAGCTCACGCCTGTAATCCCAGCACTTTGGGAGACCAAGGCAGGTGGATCACCTGAGGTCGGGAGTTTCAAGACCAGCCTGACCAACATGGAAAAGGAGAACCCCGTCTCTACTGAAAATACAAAATTAGCCAGACAAGGAGGCACATACCTGTAATCCCAGCTACTTGGGTGGCTGATGGGCAGAAGATCACTTGAACCCGGCAGGCGAGGTTGTGGTGAGCTGAGATCATGCCATTGCACTCGAGCCTGGGCAACAAGAGCAAACTTCGTCTCAGGAAAAAAAAAAAAAAAAAAAATAATAGGCATAGTGGCCACACCTATAATCCTACCCTTACTACTTGGGAGGCTGAGCCAGGAGAATGGCTTGAACCTGGGAGGCGGAGATTGCAGTAAGCCGAGATAGTGCCACTGCACTCCAGCCTAGGCTACTGAGCAAGACTCCGTCTCAAAACAAAAACAAAAACAAAAAATGTATAAAACTTAGCCAGGCATGGTGGTGGAGGCCTGTAGTCCCAGCTACTTGGGAGGCTGAGGCAGGAGAATCTCTTGAACCCGGGAGGTGGAGGTTGCAGTGAGCCAAGATCGTGCCACTACACTCTAGCCTGGGCAACAGAGTGAGACTCTGTCTCCAAGAAAAAAAAAGAAAGAAAGAAAAGAAAGAATACATTAGAGGAGACTCCATAAAATGTGATATCCAGACCTTAGGAATATTCACATGAGAGAATAGAGGAAATACATCATCAAACAATTCAAGAACATTGTTCAGAATTCAACGGCATGATTTCCAAATTAAAAGACACATTGGAGGGTCCAGCACAATGCAAATTTGAGCTCAACAATGCCAATTATTATTAAATTTCAGAACACTAGAATAAGGAAATTTTGAATATGTTTTTAGAGAGGAAAGAATAGATCAAAACCAAGAAGCAGGCATCAGACTACTGGCAGCTAAAAGATGATGGAGCAACAGAGCAATGCCTCCAAGACTCTAAGGAAAAATTATGTCCAACCAATCAAGTGTGAGGGTAAAAACAAAGAAAATTTCAGACATCCAATGTCTTGAAATTTTTACTCTCCTCATACTTTTTATCTGGAAGCTATTGGATCATGTGTTCCACCAAATGAGCCAAAAATGAGAAGATGTGAAATCAGGAAAAAGAATACCCAACTCGAAAGAATGGGGAAGGGAAACCCCAGAATGGTGGTGAAAGATAAGAAGGCTCCAGAAGAGGTATCACCAAGGAGATGAAATTGAATACACTAAGAGGAGATTTTCCACATACTATATTGTATTATGGAATTTCACTCTATGATTTCCATAAACTACAGCAAAGGCCATTTTTGAACTTCTTCTACTGCACATGTTAACAGTAGGAATTTTTTTTAATAAATGAAAGAATGGAATACCTGAATTTGTACAGTACAGTATACACTTTGAAAAGGGCTTTAGGCCAGGCACGGTGGCTCATGCCTGTAATCCCAGCAATTTGGGAGGCCGAGGCAGGTGGCTCGCTTGAGGTCAGGAGTTCGAGACCAGCCTAGCCAACATGGTGAAACCCCGTCGCTACTAAAAATACAAAAATTAGCCGGGGGCGGTGGCAGGTGCCCATAATCCCAGCTATTTGGGGGCCTGAGGCAGGAGAATCGCTTCAACCCAGGAGGCGGAGGTTGCAATGAGCTGAGATCACGCCACTGCACTCCAGCCTGGGCAACAGAGCAAGACTCCATCTCAAAAGAAAAAAAAAGGACTTTAAGATAGATATAGAGGCTTCAGTATCCTGATGACTCTCATTCATTCTGTATGAACGATACTGGAGGACACTGATTCTCTTATCTACTTGAAGACCAAGAGCAGAATCACATTACGCTTTTAGAGGGGCACAGGGTGGCCTATTGTTAGGCAAATAGACTGTAGTCAGACTAAAATCAAATTCCATTTCATCATTTAGTATATGTGTAACTTGGTCAAGTGACTTAACCTCTCTAACCTTTGATTCCCTCACTTGAAAATAGGGTTACTAATTCACAGGGTTACTGTGAGGATGGAACTAACGCATGGGATTCCATATTATCGTTTCCTCGAGCTTTGGAATTCTAATTATAAATTCTAAACTCTGAGATTACGGGAAAAGCAGACGTGAGAAAGGAATTAAAAGCACCAACTGGAAGCCAGGATGTCTCCCAGGAGGGACTCGCTATCGTCTAGCTGCGCAGCGGTGGGCAATCGCTTAACTTGTCTAAGTCTCACTTTCCGCATCTGCACATTCTCCATCTGCCCTGCCCCTGTACTCACTGGGCCAGGGAACCTGGGGAGACCTAAGCGGACTGGGAAGTTAGGCTTTCCCTCCACTTCATCAGTCGGCTGCCCCTGCGGAAACCCGCCCAGCACACCTCGCTCCTAAAGCCAGCTGCGGTAGTGGTGGTGGTTGGGGCTTTTTTTTGGCCACCAGTGGGCAGCATTTCCCCCTGCCAACCATACACGTACCCCTAGCAACCGCAAACCCAGCTGCAACAGAACAAAAGACCGCAGTCCTTGGGCTACCCTTCCATCTTAGGGCTCACGCTGCCCGGGTTGGGTTTCATTAGAGTAGCAGCTTTTCAAAGCTCGTCGGGCAGGAACGGCGGAGCGACGGAGCTCTCGCGAGATCGCCGCCGGAAGTGGGTGGTGGCGGGGACGCAGCGGTTCCCTCTCCGGAAGGCAAGCGCATCTCCCAAGCCGTTGCTACCGACAGCCGCAGGCGCTCCCCTCTGAGAAAGAGCCAGCCCCGCTGCGGCCTCTCCAGCCCCGGGTTCGCGCTCTCGCCTCTCCTGCCTGCCCAGCTGCGCGGCGGAGCGGAGCGAGGCACCGCCTGCGAGTCTCCGGCAGCCCCCGACCCCTCCCTCGGCGCTGCGTGTAGGCCGCGCCCTCAGGCCCAGTCCGCGGCGGCCCCGGCGGGTGATGCCAAATACAGCCATGAAGAAAAAGGTGCTGCTGATGGGGAAGAGCGGGTCGGGGAAGACCAGCATGAGGTCGATTATCTTCGCCAATTATATTGCTCGCGACACCCGGCGCCTGGGGGCCACCATTGACGTGGAGCACTCCCACGTCCGATTCCTGGGGAACCTGGTGCTGAACCTGTGGGACTGTGGCGGTCAGGACACCTTCATGGAAAATTACTTCACCAGCCAGCGAGACAATATTTTCCGTAACGTGGAAGTTTTGATTTACGTGTTTGACGTGGAGAGCCGCGAACTGGAAAAGGACATGCATTATTACCAGTCGTGTCTGGAGGCCATCCTCCAGAACTCTCCTGACGCCAAAATCTTCTGCCTGGTGCACAAAATGGATCTGGTTCAGGAGGATCAGCGCGACCTGATTTTTAAAGAGCGAGAGGAAGACCTGAGGCGTCTGTCTCGCCCGCTGGAGTGTGCTTGTTTTCGAACGTCCATCTGGGATGAGACGCTCTACAAAGCCTGGTCCAGCATCGTCTACCAGCTGATTCCCAACGTTCAGCAGCTGGAGATGAACCTCAGGAATTTTGCCCAAATCATTGAGGCCGATGAAGTTCTGCTGTTCGAAAGAGCTACGTTCTTGGTTATTTCCCACTACCAGTGCAAAGAGCAGCGCGACGTCCACCGGTTTGAGAAGATCAGCAACATCATCAAACAGTTCAAGCTGAGCTGCAGTAAATTGGCCGCTTCCTTCCAGAGCATGGAAGTTAGGAATTCCAACTTCGCTGCTTTCATCGACATCTTCACCTCAAACACGTACGTGATGGTGGTCATGTCAGACCCGTCGATCCCTTCTGCGGCCACTCTGATCAACATTCGCAATGCCCGGAAACACTTTGAGAAGCTGGAGAGAGTGGATGGCCCCAAGCACAGTCTCCTTATGCGTTGAATATTGCCAAATGCTCTTTCTGAAAATGCTGAATTGCCTTTTTTGTTTGCATCCTTTATTTTTAATATTCATAATGTCGTGTGCTTAAAAGTGGGCTTTGAAATGTGTGCTGCTTCCTCCTTTCATCTTTCTCCCCGGCTCCCCAGTCTTTAAACATTGGACGCTATTTACTCGGCTACCCAGTAGAGCTTTGAAGCTGGCCTTTCTGAGAAGTTGGTATGATGTAACACTAAAGTAGGTGGTTCGTGTGTGTTCTCATTACCTGGTTATAATAGATATGCACATCAAAGCCTTTACCAGTATCTCCCGTATTCCGTATCAGATTGCAAAGATGGAATGTTACTATTTTATCAGCAAGGTATTAAAATGCATTTATAAATTCTTCTTGGCTTCATTCATGAATAAACGTGTTAGCAATTTAAAACATGGCCTTATTTGAAATAACTCGAAAGTGCTTAATATGTAAATCTAAAGATTCTGACTGCCCACAAGTATTGCTTGACTGGCAAATTTGATTCTGTGAGTTTAGCCCCCAGCATTTTAGTGATGTTTGGTAACAGCTGTAGAAGTGCTTATGCTATGGACTCAAGCTAGACCACCTGAGTTAGTATTCTGGTCCCTTCACTTACTAGCTCTGTGAACATGAGCAAGTACTTAATTTCACTACACTTGTTCCTTCATTGGTAAAATGTGGGTCAGAATACTACTTTATAGCCAGGTGTGGTGGCTCACACCTGTAATTCTAGCACTTTGGGAGGCTGAGTGGGAGGATCACCTGAGACCAGGAGTTTAAGACCGGCCTGGGCAACATAGTGAGACCCTGTCTCTACAAAAAAAAAATTTTTTTCATTAACTAGGCATAGTGGTGGGTGCCTACAGTCCTAGCTACTTGGGATGCTGAGAAAAGAGGATTGCTTGAGTCCAGGAGGAGGTTGCAGTGAGGTATAATTGTGTCACTGCCCTCCAGCTTGGGTGACAAAGCAAGACCCTATCTCAAAAACAGCAAAAAAAAAAAAAAACCACTTGAAAGGATGTTTAAAAGGATTAAATTCAACATGGTATTTAGGAACGGTGCCTAGCGCATAGCGTCCTGTGTTAACTACCATTACCATCTACTGAGCCATTCTTCCCCAAATTACTGGATGTGAAACCTATTTGAATATTTGATCCCTTACTAAATGTCAGGTGTTCTTAAGCACGTGTGCATTTATCTTACTGAATCCTCACAACCTATGTGGTAGGTTACTTTGATCGCTATTTTAACAGATGAGCAAATTGCTATGACCTTATTAAGCTCATACAGCTAAACCCAGGCAATCTGACTACTGACTCTCCTCATCATTACACCCCATTAGTTCCATTGAAAAGTTAACCGTAAGAGTCATAGCTTTTTATTTTTTGTTGTTGTTGTTTCTTTGAGACGAGTCTTGCTCTTTTGCCCAGGCTGGAGTGCAATGGCGCGATCTCACTGCAACCACCGCCTCCCAGGTTCAAGCCATTTTTGTGCCTCAGCCTCCCAAGTAGCTGGGACTACAGGCATGCACCACCACGCCCAGCTAATTTTTGGTATTTTTTAGTAGAGATGGGGGTTTCACCACGTTGGCCAGGCTGGTCTCGAACTACTAACCTCAAGTGATCCGCCCATCTCAGCCTCCCAAAGTGCTGAGATTACAGTCGTAAGCCACTGCACACGGCAATTTTTTTGTTCTTATAACTTGCACAGATCAGCACTGATGGGTCTTAGCTTTTTAAATGTGTATTATTCCTTCATATAATTCCAAATTTACATACTGAGTAAGCTGAAGCCCAGGAAGCTAAGTGACCTTCCTCAAGGAATAGGGTTTCACTCATTTTGGGCAACATCACTTTCCCATTTGCATTTCTCTGGAAATTGGATAATACTGAACCAGATTCTTGGATCACCTACTTTTAAGAAAGGATTTTGAGGTTCCTAATTTGGATTGGCAATGTGTAGTAAAATGGGCAAACAGATCTAAAATGTCCCATTCCAGTTCCAGCAATAGCTGCCTTATTGTTTGAAAAGAAAGCTAAGTATTTTAGAGCCAAGAGACCTGTGATCAACTCTAAGCCTCTCATTTTACACCCGAGGTGCTATCTTTGTATGGACAGTATATATAAGTGATAGGACTTTAGAATTTCTAAGGCTTTATAAAATTATGTAATTATTAAACCCTTTCTAGCAGCAGATGTGGATGACACTACTTATGAAGAGTAAGAAGCTATTCAGGTGTAATTTATAAAAATTACCTAACTAGGGCCATTGGCAATACATTAGTGTAAAGACTCCATATGAGAAAAGTGACAGTATAGATATTACTTTAAAAATTCATTTTAAAATACTATGTACAGTAAATCTAGTAATTAAAATGGAAGTAACAAAACATGTTTACCTGAATCACTGAACCTCTCAAATGTGTTGATCAGGTTATTAATATACCTTTATATGTGATCATCTTAAGGTTTGCAGGGGCATAGTTCTTTTTGATATTATACAGGAAATTCCAGAGCCAGACAGTATAAAATATTTATTGAAAACAACAGTATTTAAAATATTTACAAAGACTCCCATAGAGGATTCTCAAATATTTTCAACTTAGGATGCGGACTTGCTATTCACAGTGCCTAAAGAAAAAGGTGATCTCTAGAGCAACTATGTATCTGCAACATAAAAGAAACATTTACTTCAATACTTCTACATTGAGGAAAACGTCATTAAACATATTTTAATTTTAGTACACTCACAGTAGGAAGATAATAGTCTGCTTTTACACAGGTCTCCAGAATTCCTGTTTTTCCTTTAGATAAATTTGACTTCATAGTCAAGAGACTCATGGTAAAGAAAAGGTTTCAAAATACTCGTATTTTTGTTTTCAGTTCAATTTCCCCCAATTGTTAACTTCAACTATTCTTTATTCCACTTGATGACATTTTTCATGTTTAGCAACATTATATGGTGGTTCTCTTTAAACATTTAAAATAACTAGAACATTTTAACATTATCTCAGGTTTCAAGCTGATGTAGAAGTCAGTTTATACACCTTTGTATCTTACAAACAGTGAACAAAACAGTACATTCTATATAATGTCTGATATGAATGTAATGAGAAATCCACTTACAGTAATGAATTAGCCCTCTTTACCATTTATGCCATGATATAGGAGGCAAACTAAACAATTCCAAAACTTAAACAATTGATAAAGATGACACATGGCCTTGGGGTATCTGTGTGTGAATACATACTCCCGACACACATTTACATAGGTGTGTATGTATGTATGTATGTATGTATATATTGCTATAACTAGAGAGACCACATGCAACCATAAAAAATATATAATAAAATCAATTAGTGGGACATAAAATGAATAAAAAGTTAAGATACCATAGGAGATTTCAGAGAAGGAATAGGCACATGGATATAAAAAGCGTGGATTAAGACCTCAAGGTGGAAGTGACATTTTTTCTGAGGCTTAAAAGAGAGCTGTAATTGTGGTAAACCAGTAGAGGAAGGCAAGGTATTCCTGCTTCAGAAAAATTGTAAACCAAGACCCCTAAAGACCCATGCTCACTGAAGCATTTCAGTAAAAAAAAAAAAAAGGGAGATTACAGTGGAAGGGGGAATAGAAGAAATCTGCTATAGGGGAACTTACATGCCTTTAAATTTGAACTCTGTTTTAGAATTAACAATGAACCATTAGTGGAATTTTAGGCAAGGAAGTGACCCAATC